ACACACACACACACACACACACACACACACACACACACACACACACACACACACACACACACACACACACACAAATGTGAAAAAGCATTATCTCCCTTTTCCAATAACATTGACAGTGAACACGTTTATGACTAGCAGCTCATATCCTGCCTCTTCACTCACTTCTCTGTACAAAGTTATGCACCTTAAAAAGAACAGTGACTTTTCTTTTCCCACCATCCCATGAAATCCTACTGATTAAGAGGGATTAAATGAGTGCTCTAAATTCTTGGTGTCAGAGTCCAATGCGAAACAAGGCTAAAAAGTGTGTGTGAAATCACTGAGAGCTCAGTCCTCTCAACTGTTTGATCTACAATCTAGAATGTTACCTGGGTCAAGTGGTCCAGAATTGTTACAGAAAAACTCATAAAAATGTTAATAAATTTCACTTAAAGCAACAACATTAAGGTCAAACTGACACCCAGAAATCAACAAAGAAATTCCATTTTGGTGTGTATTCATCCTTGGAGACAAAGAATATCTGATCAAATAGTGGTCATGGTTTCATTTTCTTTTTTAGAAACATCAGTGTAGAGCAAAATGGTATTCACCAATGTACCCATCAACAAACTGACGTCATAATAGAACTGTCATAGTTCATCTTTCATGTTTGTTTTCTGCTTTTAGGGTCTGGTGATAGAGCGAGTTGGAAGAAGACCCCTTCTCATATTTGGTTTCTCCTCTATGGCTGTTTTCTTCAGCTTGCTTACAGTTTTTCTCAATTTCCAGGTAAATATTTATTTCTTTATCTCAAACCATACTATAAGTGAATTGCTGTCACATGTCACCATGATGATAGTCATTGTGAGAAAACAAGCATCTCACAAACCCTRCTTTTTTGCACTTAAACCTTTCCTCCATCTGATTCCAGGATAGTGTGTCATGGATGCCGTACCTCAGTTACATCTGTATATTGGCTGTGATTGCAGCCTTTTGCTCTGGACCAGGTAAAGCTTCCAGTTTTATACAAGCAGCACTTAAAAATAAACAGTGTAAATGTTCTGCATTAAGATATCAGCTTATTTAAATTTGACTGTAATGTAACTTGTTAATCAATGTGATTTTCCCCATCTGCGCTCTAGAATAATTGGCAAACTAGCACGCCACTGATCTCCACAGTGAAAGGTGTTGTCCTGTATTAGCATATTAAATAGGAGCTATACGTTACGGCATGTGCATGGGCTTTACAAATGCTCTGTGTGAGTGCACGCTTTGGGTCTTGGTAGGWGATTGACTTTGTGTCAAGGTGAGGACGCTGCTGCCACCTCGGACATCGGTTAGGAGTAATTACGTCTCCAGGGATTTTGCAGCAAAGTGCCTACAGAGTAAGATTAAGGAGCCTTCACAATTATCACATATGGAACATAAAGTGAAATCCATTAAGTTTTTGTAACTAGATCATGCTCTTGGAAAGGTAAAATATCTTGAGACAGTTGCAGATGGCACATCATTGCCACTCTGTTAAAACACTGTGGTCAGTAAGTGCCTTGCTCATGTGCATTATGTAGTATTTGTGGAGAAATGATGGATTTTTTTCCCTGCATGTAGATCATTTATGGCCCCTTGAAACAAATGAAGCCTCTCATTGGGAGGGGAAGAGCAGAATATACTCAAGAGGGATGGCCCCTGTAGTGTTTTGAGCCTATGAGTAGATAAATGAGGAGCCATAGTTCCTCTGAAGTTGCTTCACCATGGGAACAGTGGCCCAGATATTTCAGTTGTACAAAAAGACAAAGCCAATGTTCCTCTTTAAAAAAGGAAACATGGATGTATTTCTGTTCAACATACCAAAGGGTATAAATCCCACCTTGTTCTTTTTTTATTAATTTGTTTCAAACAACATTTAATTGAATTTTCTTTTCTTTAATGAATACATCTATTTTCCATAGCCTACTTCCACTTGGTTAGGGGTTATGGGAGTTGAGGTTGGGGG